AAAGAAAGTTTCTACCTTGCTATTACATACTTTTGCTTCTTAAAACGTCCAGCCTAAGGGCTATTCCTACCCGGGTACTATCAAGCCCAAGGGCCACCCCTATCTGAGCCCAAAGGGCTACCCCCACTTGGGGACTGTCATTCGAAATAAGTTTGGGCGGCTCGGGCCATCAAAACCTGAAGGCACAGAACCTATTAGGCAGTGCCTAAACCTAAAAGGCTACGACCACCTAAAAAATGATTCGGAGACGTCTGAAGCCCGTAATCAAAACGCAAGGCCTTCAATAAAAATTCAAAACTTGGTAAATGGTTACTCTCGGCAAAGGCATCGTCTAAGAACACTTAAGCATCTTGGGAAAAGTTCTGGCCACTCTGAGTTTTCAAACCTTTTAAGCAAAAATTGCATCAAGGTCAGGTTTTGTTCAAACCTCCAAAAAATAAATGACTTATTACTACGTTTGATTTTGTGCTAAAGCATTAGAAATATTATTCATTATGAAAAGATGTTAAAATAGTAGAGACTTGAAATTACCAAAAGGGTAAATTTTATATATTCCGAAATATATTTATAAAGGCCCAACAAAAACGGCCTCGAACTGAACAAAAATAATGTACAAAATACAAAAACTAAAAACTCCTAAGGCATTTACGCTTGATCTTCGCCGGAGCTCGATTCGTCACCAGAACCATCGGGGCCTTCGGATTCTTTGTAGCCCCCCTCACCTTCGGGTTCAGCTAGCTTGTTCGCCTCAGCCTCAAGTCTTTTTGCCTCTTCGATCTCGGCAGATAGGTCGAAGCGTCAGGCATGTATCTCTTCGAGGGTCTCCCTTCGAGATAGACGCCTCACATTCTCAACAGTAGTCTTCAGGCGAGCCTCGGCCGGTTCGACATCGGCCTTGTATTGAGCCACCATCTCGTCAGCATCGGTCGAGGTTATCTCGAACTTGGACCTCGTTACCTCAAGTTATTTACCAAGAACGTCCCGTTTAGCGGTCGTCGAGCCCTGTTGTGTTCGGAGATCCTTATCTTCCTGAGCCCGTTTATCAGCTTTCTCCTTCGCCACCCAAAGTTGAACTTCTACCGAAGACAGCTTGGCCTGGGCGGTCTCTTTCTCTGAGGCCAGTAGATCCATCTTGCTTTTCCACCCGTGGGCCATTGCTTCGATCTTGTCCATCTACTTTCCGATGTTTGTCGATTTGGTCAATCTTCTGCTGGACCTGTGAGGTATTGTCATTAGCCACTACAAGCATATCCTCGTTTCAAACTTTGAAGACCTTTACCTTTTTAACAAAATTAGTGTGCTCCCGCCTTAGGACTGATGCTTCTTTCTGAGCTCCATCCAGCTCGGCCTGAAGGTTCTTAATAACCCATTTTTGTTACTCGATGAGAAGCTTGTACATTTTTCTTTTTGGGAAATCTCCTTGAACTCGAGCTCAAGTTGATTTACCTCGACCCGGTACCGAAGGAAATTCTCGTGATGAAGTATCGAGGCCTGCAAAAAAATGAAAAATGTAAGAAATATCAAAACCTAAGTAAAGTTCGATGGAGCATAATGATGCCTTGCCCGGTACAGTACCCGTTGCACCTCATTGAAAAGGCACGACACGTTCACCTCATTCATTTTTGCCTGGACATCCTCGGTCACAAGGCATCGGACGTAGCTAGATATCCCCACAGGAGCAGACAAAACCCGAGCATCCTCCGGGATGGTCAGAATTCCACACTCGGATCAGGGAACTGGTTGATCAATTTCGGGCTCGAACTCGGCCCGTCGACTTTTGAGGATGTGTCCTTCTTTGGAACTTCCAAGTCGCCCAACCCAGAGAAATCTTCCAAAATCATACGAGTCCACACCATCGAAAAGGGAGTGAAGGGGATCATCCGCACCATGGATCCGTTCATTGGAGTTCTCCTTACTTGCTTGGTCCTCCTCGAGCATGGACCCAGTGTAGGAGGGCATCCCGAAAATATCTATTATACTGAGCGCTTCCTTCGGAGCAGAGCCGGCATCCTGGGGAGTCCCACCCCAGGTCTCCACATCGATTTTTTGAGTTTGGGGTGGGTCGACCTCATGAGTATCCCCCTCATATGCCTCCTTCTCCCCGAGAAAGGTCGTCTTATGGGTAATGAAAATGAGTTCATCTTCCGGCTCGTCCCTGAGCCGGAAAGAGAGTCGGAGCCTGGCACCCGGGAGCTAGAGCTTCTCCTAGGCTTGCGGGCCACCTTTTTCTTTGGTTTCTTCACCTCGAAACCCGGGGAGCTCAAAGGTTTTCTCTTCCTTTTCTTATTTTCATCCATGAAATCCCCGGGCTACCCTGCAACGGAGGAATCAACGGGCAAGGACACGTCCTCGTCCTCTTCCAAAGGCCTAAGTTCGATGGTCTTAGGCAAACGTGCAACAACAGAAGGAAAAGAAAGTAAGCATGGTATTAACTATTCTGAAAGAGGCCTTACCATGAGAACGGGTCTCCTACCGTCCCTTCGAGAGCCCGTGCCATGCATGTTCGGAGTACGTCATGTGATTAAAAATGCCTCGATCCATTCCTTTAGCCGTGGGACCGCATTCGAAACCCGGGTGATAGCTGCACAACCACAAGTATGAATGAGAAGAAAGAAATTGAAGGAAAACTAAATCTTTGATGCTTAAAGAGAAATTGCACTTACGAGATATGTTCCACTTCTAAGGGAATGATATGTACTCGGGGGAAATCAAGTCATCGATCTTCACCCAAACGAAGCGTCCATGCCAGCCCCGGTCTCAGTCCTCTTCCATACTCGAAAAGAGGGTCTTGCTGGCCTGACTAGTAAGCTTGATCAGTCCCTCTAGGAAAATTCAGGGACTATATAATTGAAGAAGATGATCGATCGTGAACCGACGAGACTCGATCTTGTTCACGAAGTAGCGAAGGAGAATCAGGATCCTCCATAACAATAAATGGATTTGCCCAAGGCACACCTCATACCTCTTGTAAAAGTCCAGAACAATCGGGTCCACCGAGCCTAGTGTGAAGGGGTAAGTGTAAACACTTAAGCACCACTCTACGTAGGTAGTAATGGCGTCATCGGGCTGGGGACTACTACATCCTTGACTTCCTAATTGTAGTACTTTCGAGCCATGGGAAGAATGTCTTCGGTCATAGAGCATATGTACCTTGATGCTCCTTCACCCCGTCCTGTTTGCGTGAGGGTTTCTCAAACTTAAAGTCATCTGCAATTGAGTAGCCTCCGGGAATGAACACTTTCAAGGGAGGCTCGGGGGCCGGTTCATCGACAGCCATCTCGGGGAAAGCTATTTCAAGGGCAACTACTTCAGGGGAAACTACCTTAGTACCGGCGGGCGGTTGGGAAGATAAAGAGGCAACTTGTTAAGGAAAAAATTTGAATGTTTTAGCCATTGTTATCTGGGGAGATTTGAAAATTTGAAGAAAGAATGCGAAGTTTTGAAAGAACAAGGTTTGGAGATGATGAACAGAGTATGAAAGTTTGAAGGAAATATGGGTAGAAACCTGGAAATCACTGTGAAAATTGAAGAACAAGGATGAGGATATGAAGTTTTGAAACAGGTTTGATGATAGCTGGAAAGATCGAAGGTAATAGCTTGGTCGAAAAGTAGAAAAAAGAACACAGGGTGGAACCTTTTATAGGGAAACAGGCGATGCTTCGTATTCGGGGGCAACCAATCATTGAGCAACACATAGTCGAAGTGAGAACGACGCGACTGATGGGGTGTTTCGGCTCCTTTGTCGTAATATACGAAGGAAGGAACTGAAGAACGTATGTTATTTCCCTTCGTTTCGACAAACCTCTCTCTGAGAAATGAGGGAACTATTTGTATACGGGTAAAAATGAGTCTAACAAGTACCCCGATTTTTCGGTGAGGCAAACGGAATAGGAATGTGACTGTTAGGTATCGAAATCAAAACTAGGAGCCTCTCGTATCAGGGCCCGAGCAAAATACCTACCCTCGGAGCCATCAGGACCACGTTCCCCAGGTCCGGTTCGAGTCCCAAGACGTCGGAGAACATTACCAAACGACTGCATACGACCAATAAAGGGCCGTGATATTCGTGCCCAGTCGGATATCACGGCGTGAATCTCGGCCCGTATCAGTAGAAAATGAGTGATTAGCAAAAAAAAAAAGATTTTTACCTTTCTTAGAATTGTACTTAGGGTAAAGTTACCCTACTATATAAAGGAAAAACTAATTACTCATTAGACACATTGTAACACGGATACCAAGGCAATATACTTATATTCTCTTTGTTTCTAAAAGTTATTCAAAGTTCTTGTTTTTATTCATAAGTTATTCATGAGTGCAAGCTCGGAACCGAAGGCAGGTTCCTCGTTAAGCCGTTAACAGAGCTCGGACTCACTCTTATCATTAGTTTGATAATTTATTACGTCTTTTATTTGCTTAATCTAACGCCATTGATCACTTGTATTGAATTAATCCCCATATCCTTAAAACCGTGTATAAATTCAACTATTATCCATTTTAAGGGTAAACAAGCATCTTGCAGAAATGCAGGGTAAAGCTGCGTACGATATATCCTTGTGGTCTGCCCCTTCCTCGAAACCCACACATAGTGGGCAGGGGCGTACGAAGAATTTTTCGTAAGCGGTGTCGAAATTTAGAGAGGCATACAAACGAAGAGATCACTTTAGTAAAATCATATTTTAGAAAAATACAATTCAAATTAGGGGTAGGCATAAAATCCGAAAATCCGAATTCCGAACCGAACCGAATTAATTTGATATTTTAATTTTAATTTTTTCGGTATTTTAATTTATTTCGATACAGAAATTACGGCATTTCGGTACGGTATACGGTATTGGGATTTTTATATTTTGATATTTTGGTATACCGAAATAGTTTAGTCCAAGCCCAATTTTATTTTTATTTTTTAGCCCAATACCTTAAGCCCACACCCCAAAAGTCCAAAACCACTAATTCCCTAATCCCTTACCCTTTTGGCTTAGTTTCTTAGAGGAACACAAGAATTTCAAAAAACCCTCACGATTTTGCTTGGTTGCTACGGCGGTCGGATTCACGAGTTACGACTACAACCTCGGCGACGGCAACTCCTCTCCTCGACGATTGCTTGTTTGCTCATTGTTGACCTTTATTCAGGTTCATAACTTTTTCATTCTTCATTGTTGATCTTCATTCATGCGAGCTATAATCATATTATTTAGCTATAACAATTTGTCGGCCAGAATTATTAACTTCTGAAGTTGTTGAGGCCTTTTTATGTAGCTTTACTTAAGTCTAATGTTGCTAACAAAATCCCTCCTGTTCTGATTCAACTTTCAATTACAAGGTTTAACTCTATTTCATGTCCTAAACATTTGTTTACACCTGATCTCAAATTCCCTTTAAGTTAATATGGAGTCCTTGACATTTCAGGAAGTTAGCTGCACAAATCGCAAGCAAATAGCAGCAACCTACAGTCGAGGTACATTTTTTTTATGCGATATTGGTTTATTTTATAACTGAGCTGCAGCTAATATTATTGTATTTCCTTAGGTAAAAAAGCCACCAGTCTCAGTGGCACCAAATAGAAATGAATCAGAAGACTGCATTATAATCGATGCTGAAGAATACAAGGCCGTTGGCTATTCTTTCGTGCTAATGTTTGTGCAACATACTGAAGCAATGATGGAGGAAATTGATAGGATGGTAAATTCTGACATGATATGTATATCTTTGCTTCTGATTGTTTTTGTGGATTACCATTGATGTTGTATTATATGATTCAGGATGAGGAGATAGAGATAGAAGATGTAGAAAACTGGCCAATTGTGGATATAGACAGCGCTGAAAAAAAGAACACGCTTGTAGTTGTGGAGTACATCGACGACATCTATGCTTACTACAAGAAGACTGAGGTAGAAATGTTACTCCACTCGCCCTTCTATTATGTGAATAGAATAGGATATGGCCTGTAGTATTTGTAGAATTCTCATATTTTGCAACTGTTTATTTAATTCTTACGGTTATAGTCTCATTGTGTGAAAGAGTGGTACTAGTTCTCGGCTGATCCACCTTTATGATCATTAAGCTTAATAGCTTGCCATGTTATTCACAGAATCTAGGCATTTAATTTCAGTATAGAATGTAGCTAGTCCGATAATCGAGAGCATCGAATGTTTCTTACACGCCTTTTGTCAGGCAGAATGGCAGATTGTTTATTTAGTGTTGCTGCCTTTTGTTAGGCAGAATGGCAGATTGTTTACTCGTTAGTGGTTGTTTCTGCTTGCTTAATGCTTAGGCTCTTAGCACTTAGCAATACGTGACACATGAATATGTGTTAAACCGAAACCGTACCGAACCAAAATAAGAAATATTAAACCGTACCGAAATACTTTGTAGTATTTGGTAAATAAAATTGATAAACCGAATATCGAAATACCGAACCGAAATTCTTAAATACCGAACCGAAGTACCGAATGTCCACCCCTAATTCAAATACATTAGTACAACTCTCCCAGGCGATCTTACATTTTTTAAAATGTGATCATAATAGACTCTTTTAATCAATTTCATGACCGCTCACTTTGTTCAATTACTCTTTTTAGGTATGAAGTTTGTATATTAAAATTGTTTATTCTTGGCTGTGATATGTGCATAATGGACGCTGCTTCTTTCTAACATTTTCCAGAAGAATACTAAAAATTAAGAAAAAAGTTGTTAAGTTGGCGGGGAGTCGAACGTTTGACCCACAAGTAGGAACAGAATTGCTTCACCAACGAACCGATATATCTATCATGTCACATTGTACCATTTATTATATTTGAACTATATTTCCTTTTCGAGATTATAAATAAATAAAATTTCCTACCGCGCGGCGTCGGATGACACCGGTTGGCTCAACGTGCCTCCGCCCCTGATAGTGAAAGTTTAGTTCACCGAGCTGACCTTTTGCATTGCTTCACCCTATTCCGAAGGAATAGGCCCCGTTGGTTTCAGAACCTTTCTCATAATCAGTGAAGAAATCAAGAACTCCTGGAAGAGGTAAGAAAGCAGAAAGAAGAAAAGAAGTAGAAATAAGAAGAAGAAAAAAAAAGGAAGAAGGAAAAGAAAATTAAGTAGTGAAAATAGTGCATACCAACATAAAAGGTAATATTAACCATTTCCGCCTGACCATGATAACGCATATACTAACTAAACTTAGCATGACTTCGACCAAAACCTAATTAACAGGCTGCCATTAGCTGGAGAGATTAGCTATTGGGCAAACAAATTCAGTTATTAATAATCTTAAAGTCATGATCAACTGTCACATAGTCAATAAATAATAAATGAATGTACATAGGGTTAGTTGATAAGCAAACAAAATCATTCAAATCGGACGTACTCGTTTTCAAGCTCCGCCAATCTAAGCTCAGGTTCAATTGCTGACCATACTACTCAATAATCATAAGAACAACTACTGGATATTTATCATTATTTCGTATCTTAGTTTTTTAATCTATTAACTATTTCAATCTTAAACTAGTTAACATCAAATTCGATTCAGTATTCAAAAGGATTCTGAAAGAGAAAAACTAATATAAGTAGATTGACATGTTTTCAAAATTCCTTGTATATACTAATTGGCATTCTTTTATGTGCGGCGTGTTCGAATTCATTATCGCTTTTACGCGAGAAAGGGGACCACCCTCTAAGCTTAAGTATTCCTCGATGACCGATAGCTACAAGTACCGTGAGGAAAAGGTGAAAGAAATGTATTTAGGAGAGTGTAATAGAGAACCTGCCATACTCTGTGGATTGTTAAGGCCAAATTAATTTTGCAGCCAAATCCTCAACTCTTGCCCTATAGAAAATGAAAGGGACAGAATTTCACGAGGCAAGCTGAGGGCTTCTGTGGATATAGGACTACTTCCTGGGTAGCTTTCAAAATAATTTTAAAGAACTATATATATATAGGCGGATGTAGCATACTAGGTACGGGTTCAACTGAACCCATAATTTTCGACGCGGAGTAAAAATTTGTATGTAAAAATTCATTAAAATTACAAAAATAGTAGATATGAACCCATAACTTTAAAAATATAATGGGTTCAATGTTAAAAATCTTAAAATTGAACCCATATGATTTAAATCCTGGATCCGCCTCTGTATATATACAAAAAATATATTAGTTTTATACATATTTTTGATTATTATTTTGAGAACGATTATACAATGTCATTTTCCCAGAGAAAATGCCAGTGTTGTCAGTTATTAGACCAAACGGAGAAATTCTCAGGTGCGAAAATTTCTGAGCCCAGCCCAACATGGTCCCCATAAACTGATATCTACCATCAGAAAGAGGGGCAACCTATACCCTGTTTGGCCAAGTTTTTTTGGGGGAATTTTTACCTTTCTATACATTATTTGAAAACTTATTACCCTCCCTACTCAAGTTTCAATTTAATTATATGGTCATATACAATTTACCATTATGTACAAATAAGTTTTAAATGAGTATCCCTTTATATTAGAAATTGAATAAAAAATATCAGTTATTTCCTTATCACTTTATATTTGCCCACACTCTCTCTCTGTCTATGTTTCTATCTCTCTCTCCCTTCGTCTCTCTACTCTCCTTCTCTGTTTTTTCCCCCAATATTTCTTCATTTGATATATTTCAGATTTCAAAGTTGAAGTTGAATATTCTCAGATTTTTTAATTGAAACTTTGCAAATTTTAGTTTCCTTTCTCGACTTCACCAATAAAAGACTATAGAAGTTCTCAGGGAATTCATTAGAGGAATGTTTCCGATAAAAATTATTTGTTCTTGCATATCCCTACTGTTTTTCTAAATTAATCCCGCGAATACATATAATTCAGAAGAATATGTGAGTGATTCATGCACAACATCTCTTTCCTTTATCAAGGGTTCGACTAATTTATATGTTTTCACAAATAATTAAAATTCAACTTCTTGATCTGTATCTTCAATTTTTGGAAACTTATAAAGTTCTTCCGTCAAACCTTGATCAATGAACCTACAAAATCCTTCAAATTGTATCTGATTAAATCCAGGTATTGTAGATATTCCCTCATTTCCATCCCCGAGCATTTTTAATTTCCCATTTATCAAAAAATACCACTATTGGTTCATTCTTCATCTNTAAATTGTATCTGATTGACTTTCAATGCTGAGACAATTGAAGTAATCGACTTAAATGATTAAATCAATTTTTCCGTTTAAAATTTTTGGGATGAAAATTCCTATCTTATTTTAAGTTAATTATTGCTAACCCATTTGTTGTGTCGTAATCCTTGAATTTTTGTGATGAAAGCTGCTACTGGATTTGATTGCTAAATATTTTCGATATGGAGAAAAGAGGGGAGAGAGGAGAGAAAAAAAGGAAAGGGGTGTAACTAAATCCCTTGATTGAAGGCACTGATAATGGATTGGGAGCCTTTTAAGGTGAAATGTATTTAATTTGTAAGTAATACTTGTTTAAGGTGGGTAATATACAAAATTAGAATAATTTTGGTGAATAAGTTTAAAATATTGTATAGGAACGAAAAAATACCTTCTTCTTTTTTTTTTTACCAAAAGTACTTTTTTAGTCCAAAAGTGCTTTATCTCAAAAGTTAATGTGTTTGGGAAAAGAAAAAAAATGTTTGGTGAAGTTTTTAGAAGGAAAAAAAATATTTTTGAGTAGAAACATAAATAGTTTTTTAGAAGCAAAAACAAAATAGTTTCTTTTCGAAAGCACTTTTGAGAAAAATACACTTAGAAGCAATTTTTAAAAACTTGGTCAAACATAAAATATTGTTGAAAAGTATTTTTTAAATTAGTTAGTCAAATACAAATTGTTTATCACCAAAAATACTTTTTTGAAAAGTAGTTTTGAGAAAAATACTTCTCAAAATAAGTTAGTTTTAGAAGCTTGGCCAATCAGGCCATTACATTTGATTGGCTCGCCAAAAATAATTACATTCGCTAACTAAATGTATAAAAAATATGTTTATTATACATTAATATACAGTAAATATATATTTTTTCCGACTATTAATTTTAGGAGCGGCTACGTTGTATATTTTTTCCATTAATGAGAAGCGTCTAATAGCCCATTTGGCCAAGCTAGGAAAATTAGCTTATTTTGAGAACTGTTTTTTTTTTTTCAAAAGTACTTTTGGTGAGAAGCTGTTTGTGTTTGCCTAATTAATTTAAAAATTACTTCTAAGCAGCAATTAGTGTTTGTCCAAACTTTTAAAAAATGCTTCTAAGTGTATTTTTTTCAAAAGTGCTTATGGGAAGAAGATACTTTTTCTGCTTTTGCTTCTCTTCATAAGCATTTTTTTCTCCTAAAAACTTGGCCAAACACTTCAAAATTTAAAAAAAAAAAAAAGTTAAAAAAAATAAAGTGTTTTTAAGCTTGGAAAAGCTTGGACCGGTTATAAGAAAGCTGGTAAGCCTTATCTCACTAACCCGTAATTTTTAACTTTTAATAGTGTCGGTCATTCTTTTGATTGTTTATTCACTTGGGTAAAAGCATCTTAAGATTGAGTGAATTTCTTGGCAGCAAAGTCTTCCTACTTTTCTTACGAATAATACTACTCCGCTGAACATGTTTAAAACGATGTGTATGTCTAACATTCCAAAGGTAGAGGTGAATTGAAGATTTTAAGAGAGTGGTACAGTGTACTCCTCTAACAATAGGTAAGAAATCACCATAAGTTCACATTTAGCTATGTGTGCTCCTACTACCAACAATATGCATCTGCTCCGATCCCGAGCAAAACTTAATTTAGAGTTGAAATGAACAACCAAGTGAAGATGAAAAGGGTAACTTTATGCGGTTAAAATCGGGTTACTGTTTGATCGAGATCGGGAGTTTGCATCTAAGGACGACTCCGAAGTAGATCGGATCGAGGCACGAAGACAAGGTACCGAGATCGGGATTCGAGGCACCTGCCAAGATCGAGATCGACAACAATCGAGACCGAACGAGATAGGTATCGAGCAATACCGAAGATTGCGTAATAACGGAAAAACGAGATATCCGTGACCAGTCGAAGATCATGGCGAAAATCTCGGAACGGATCGAATCAAGAATGGTTGTTTAGTTAATCATGAGATTTCCTTCTGTAATTAGAATTGTACCATATATAGAATTTCTCTACTATATAAAGGGGAGTTCTAATCATTTGTAGCGACGACTGATAACAAAG